GTCATAAATTGTTTTGATTCTCAACATAAATTTAGGGACTCCTGGGTTAAACCAAGTTCAGTAAATTCTTTCACAGCAGAACTTTTCAAAGTCCTTAATATGTGAACCTGCCTGTAGTCTTTAAAGAATGAGTATACATTTTCTATGGCTTGAATGTATCCCCATAATGCAAGTGTTGGAAATGTGAAGCTCGATGCTACAGTATAAGAGGGACCTAATGGTAGATGTTTAAATAACGAGAGCTTCACCTTCATAGATGGGTTAATGCTGATTTAAAAAGACTAAAAGAAGCAAGTTCAGTTTCTTACCTCTCGCTCCTCACTATCTCCTATGAAATTATGCAATAAGAAGCCCATAGTCAGATGTGAGGCCCTCAATCTCAGACATCTCAGTCACCAGAATAAGAAATAAATATATTATCTATAAATTATCCAGTGTCAGGTATTCTGTTATAGCAGCAAAAAAGTACTAAGAGAATTACAGTGTTGTTACAATGAATATCTGAAATAGCGGAAGTGGCTTTTGGCTTTGGAAGTGGATAATGAGTAGAGGCTGGAGAAATGTGGAGGAACAGGCTAAAAAAAGTCCTAGATTGCTATGAATATAACATTAAAGAAAACTGTGGTGTGTTCTTGTCAGAAGGAGACAAGAACTATAAGTACAGTCTAAATTTCTTAAGTATGGACATAATCAGAATGTTGGTAGAAGTATGGACAGTAAAGACCATTCTGATGAGGTTCCAAGTGGAAATAAGAAACAAGGTACAGTATTAGAAACCAGAGTAAAGGCAATGCTTGCTATATAGTTGCAAAGAACTTGGCATAATTGTTCATGTCCTAAGACAGTGGTGGCAAACCTATGGCTCACCTGCTCCAGTGGGCTGTTTGTATCATTGAAAGCTCTAAAAGGTTCGCCATCACTATCCTAGGACTTGCGGAAGGAAGAAATTTAAGAGTGAATGCCATGGATTGAATGTGGTTTATACCCTAAAAGTTCACATGCTGGAAGCCTGGTCTCTAGTGAGGTTATATTGAGAGGTGACAGAACCTTAAAAAGATAGAGCCTAGTGGCAAGTGTTAAAGTGACTGGGTTACGACTGGCCTTCTAAAGAGATTAATGCAAATCTTGTTTGAATGGATTAGTTCCTGCAAGAGCATATCGTTATAAAAAGGCAAGCCTGGTTCCTTCGTGCTGTCTTGCTTCCTCTCTCGCCACCTGACACCTACCCCATTTCATGCATTCCTGTGGTGCATGTGATGTTGCTCACCACATTATACTGCAGACAGAAGCCTTCATGGGACGCCAAAGTGAAGGCCCTCCCTACCCGATCTTGGACTTTCAGGCTACTAAATAAATAAATATATTTTTCTTTTGAAGTACCTCATCTCAGTTATTTTATTACAGCAACATAAAATAGACTACAATAAGGATGAACGAGGCTATATAAGAGAAAATATATCTAAGCAAAAAAGTGTTCAAGGTGCTACATGGCTTATGGTGCCCGCACATAGTAAAATGAAAGAAGAGAGAAATAATTTGAAGTCATAATTTATAACTAAAGGGGAGGCAGAATATAAGTCTTTGGAAATTTCTTAGTCTGGCCACTTAAAAGTAAAGAAAGCATGTTCAGAAGAGAATACCAACAAAGTGGACAAGTGACTATTTGCAACAGAGATTAATATGGATAGAGAAAAGTCAGGTTCTGTTCATCAAAAAAATGAGACAAAGGGTCAAGGATTTAGCTCAGTGGTTCTGCCGCCTGCCTCGCAAGCACAAGGTCCCAAGTTCAATCCCCGGCATTTAAAAAAAAAGAAAAGAAAATGGGACAAAGCACTTCAGTAATCTCCCAGGCAAGATAGGACCTTGAGTGCAAGGTTTCCAGAGACACATGTAGGAGATCTCAGCTGTTACGTCCTAGGTTGTCCCAGGATTCTTTCTGCTCACTGAATTCCAGCAAAGCACACCTCCCCTAACCAGCCACGGCTCAAGTGCATCTCAAAAGGTAATAGCAATAAGCCTTGGCAGCATCCACATGGAGCCAATTCTGCAAGTTGCAGGTTTACCAAATGGCAAGAGCTGTGGTGCCATGCCAGCTCCGAATTCAAAGGATGTCACAAATAGTCTGGGGACCCAGACAGAGTTGTCACACCGGCACAGACCCCAAAGACAGTCTCCACAGGGACAATCCCCAGTGGAACCACAAGAGCAAAACCATCCCAGAGAATCCCCAGCAGGGCAATGCCTAGTGGAGCCATGAAAGTGGGGCAGGCCACAAGACCACAGAATGGTGAATCCACATTATGCAACTCCAGCTTGAGAGAGCTGAAAGTGCAGGCTCCAATCCATAAGAGCTTCTAGGTGGACTGAGTTCTCCAAAGCCATGGGAGCAGGAAGGGCAGAAGGTGTTCCCTGAAAAGTTAGGATCTGGATTCCAACTCCGGTGTATCCAAAATACAGGACATAAAGTCAAAATCTATTATTCTAAAGACTTAATGTTATTTTCTCTGTTCAGTTTTGGATTTACTTGAGACCAGTTAGTTCTTTTTCCTTCTTGCCTATTCTCCCTTCTGGATTGGGAATGTTTATACTATGCCTTGGTAAGCATGTATCATGGTAAGCATGTATCATGTAAATTTCACAAGTGCTAAGCTGGAGGGGAATTTGCCTTGGGAAGGATTGTGCCTTGAGTCTCACACATATCTGTTCTGCAAATGTCTTTGGACTTTTGAGTTAGTTCTATAAGGAGTTAAGAGTTCCGGGCTTTTGAGATAGAATGAAAGTATTCTATATGGGAGAAGAACATAAATTTGGGGAGCCAGAAGTAGAATGCTGCGACTGAATGTGTGCTTGCAAAAGCATACTATTTCTACTGCTAAGTGAAGGAGGTGGGACCTTGTGGGAGCTGTTTTGGCTATGAGAATTAATGCTGACTATAAGTGGGCTTGAGGCTGGAAGTTCAATTACTCACCCTCTCTCACCTTTTACTTTCTGCCATGGAATGATGCAGTAAGAGATACTCTGCCAGATGCAGGTCCCTCAACCTTAGATTTCTCAGCCTTCAGAATTTAAGAAATAAATCTCTCCCCTTTATAATAACCAAGTCTCAGGTATCCTGTTGTGACAGCACAAAATGCATGAAGACAATAATAAGTAGCATTTCTTAAACATTTACCATTAATTATTGTTTTCATTCTTCTGAAAATAAAATCTTCCAGGAATACTATTCCATGGAATAAGACTGGCAGAAATATTGATCAAGACTTTAGGATGTTCATTAAAAGGAAAAAAAAGATCAATTTATTTTTTGTGTGCCAGGAAACACTATGATGAAAGATGACTTTATGAATTCACATAAATATAATTCTAACTGCAACTGCAAACAATGAAGCCATAGATGAAGAAAAGGACCAGATATTTTAAAAGAACCAGTGTGGTTGCTGAGCTCAGATTCTGAAAGGATAGGTATAAAACCCAAACATCACTGGCCCTGCTCAAGGCTGGTCTGAGCACAGTGATATATGCAATATGGTAAGCACCAGGAAAGCATTGAAAGGTCAACTGCTAAAGGACCTACATAAGACAACCCAGCAACAGAGGAGTTAAGGGCAAATTATATAGGGCAAATTCTGAATGGGAGACAGTACCTATCAGAACATCAAACAGAAAAACAAAAATCAACCTCTCTTCCTGGCTCCCAAAGGTGGATTTGCTTGAGCAAGGATCTGAAGGATTCCAGTGTATGCATATTCAGGATATCTGTAAGTATAACCCCCCCCCCGGCGGGGGGCGCACTCTCATTACTCTCACATTGCCACTGAGAATGTAAAATAGTGCAATCACTCTGGAAAACATTCTGGGCATTTCTTAAGCACTAACTGCACAAACATCATAGGACCCTGCAACCACAGTGCTGAGCTTATCCCAGAGAAATGAGAATCTAGGTTTTCACAAAAATCTCTAAAGGGGGCTCGGGATATAACTCAGTGGTAGAGTTCTTGCCTAGCTTGCAACTCAAGGCCCTGAGTTCAATCCCTACCACGGGGCGGGGGGAGGAAGAAAAAAAAAAAAAGTAAAACCTGTACAGCAATGCTGGTGGCAGCATGATTCATAACAGTCCAAAATGACAAACAATTCCATCATCCTTTCAGTGGTTGACTGGTTATACTACCTGTGGTACATCTACACCCTTGAACAGCACTCGGTAATAAAAAAGGAATACACTATTGACACATTTATACCACCAGGAAACACACTTTCTGATACAGAAAATGGGTGACCAGAGTTTATAAAGTCGACAGGCTGGATGAATTTTCAGAGCACAATGCTGAGGAAAAAAGCCACCACCCTCAAGATTACACCCTATACAATTCCACTTACATCAAATTCTTGAAATGCTAAAGTTGTGCAAATGGGGAGTAGTTTCGTGGATGCCAGGCATTCAGGAGAACGGAACAGGAAGGAGCTGGTCAGACAAGGAAAGGACAATTGGCAGGATCCTTGTAGGGAGGAAATGGCTTATTGGTTCCGGCTGCCAAGCGAGTTACAGTGGTTTTCAGTGGTCACTCACTGGGGAAAGTGAATAAAAAATACACGGGGGTCTCTCTGTATTTTTACCAGCACATGTAACTATATCGTAAGCTGGCAATAAACAGCTTAAATATACATGAGACCCACGTATTTGGCCAACCCCTTCTTGGAAACCTGGCAGTAGGTCAATTCCCAGGCTGGGTTTTCCTCCTGGGAATGGCATTCTCCCATAATGCAGCCATACCCAAATGCCAGAAGCACAGGAGTTGGCTAAGAAGGAGAAGCAAGTCAACAACAATGAAGAAACGCTTAACTAGAGACTGGATGCGATGCGAACAGGAAGAGTAAGCAGCAAAGAGAGGGATCCAAACGGGGCACTGACCCCGTTAGTGAGATGCTGATAAAACAGAAGACCGTGGACAGGCTGAGTGAGGGCCCTGTGAAGCCATGCGCGTCCCCACCCAAGAGGACCTTCCTTGCACAGGAAGGGGGCCAGAGGCTGCCGGGCTTCCGCACCTCCACTCCACCAGGTGGAGCCAGGGCTGGTGCCGGAGATTCAGTGCCACCGGGGTCGAGTCCTGGGGATGTCCACTTCGGCTGCGGAGCACTTACCCCACTTTCCTGCTCCTCACAGCCCAAGGAGGAAGGATCTCTGAGCGCCCCTCCCTCCCGTGCACCTCAGCCCTGGCCCTGCACCCTCTTCAGACGGAAAAGGTAAGAATTAGCACGCTCTCCCTGCCCTCCGTCACCATGGCGCATCTGCGAACCTGCGAAGTCCGCCAGCTGCTGCACAACAAGTTCGTGGTGGTCATGGGCGACTCGATCCAGCGCGCGGTGTACAAGGACCTTGTCCTCCTGCTGCAGAAGGACTGTCTGCTATCCTCTCGCCAGCTCAAGACCACGGGCGAGCTGAGCTTCGAGCACGACATGCTGCTAGAGGGCGGCAGGTGGGGCCCCATGCACAACAACATCTACTACCGCGAGGTACGCCAGTTCTGCACGGGCCACCACCTGGTGCGCTTCTACTTCCTCACGCGCGCCTACTCAGCCTACCTGGAGGATGTGTTGTCCGAGCTGCGCAGGGGCGAACACGCCCCCGACCTGGTGGTCCTCAACTCGTGCCTCTGGGACCTCTCGAGGCATGGCCGTCACTTCCCCACAAGGTACCGGGAGGACCTGGAGTGCCTGTTCCGACGCATGGACCGCGTGCTGCCAGAGTCCTGCCTGCTGGTGTGGAACACGGCCCTGCCGGTGGCCAACACCGTGTCAGGCGGCCTCCTCCCGCCAGGGGCCCTGGCCAGACTGGTCCGCCTGAGCGAAGACGTGATGGAGGCCAACTTCTACAGCTCTTTCGAGGCGTCCCGGCGAGGCTTCGACCTGCTGGATCTGCACTTCCACTTCCGCCTCCACGCGGGCCAGCACCAGCTGCGTGATGGCGTACACTGGGACGAGCATGCGCACCGGCGACTGTCCCAGCTGTTGCTGGCGCACGTGGCGGACGCCTGGGGTGTGAACCTCCCAGGCCGCGACTCAGCAGCCGAGGGGGGGCGGGAGGGAACCAACGGTTCGGACCGACGTCTTGCTGCAGAGCACAGGAGGCAGCCCCGCGACAGCAGAGGTGACCCGCAGGAACCGGCTGCCTCCTGGCGCTCAGAGCCTCTCCTCCGTGGCCCGCGGCAACTTTCCATGCTTTGCCCCCAGGCTCCAGCCTCCTTCCGGCTCTACCCAGAAGACGGCCATTTGCCCTCCGACCCGCCCGCGCAGGAGCATTTCAATTTGAGCGACTCTTCCAGACGCCAAGTCGAATATAGCAGGGGAGTGAATTCTAGGGCTGGCCGCGAGCCCATACCAGGCCTCATCCGCAGGGTCTATACCCAGCACCCACGCCGAGTGTCGTCCCCCTACCCTGCTCAGCACCTTGCTGGGTCACAGGAACGCCTTCGCCATCGAAGGCACTCAAGCAGACAAATTCAGCATGCCCAGAGCCAAGAGTAGCCATACCTCTACCTAGGCCCCTTTCACAGCATATCCCCAATGCACTGGAGCGGGTTTAACTCAGCCCTGCTGCACGTTGGACCCTTTAAGTGTCTTACTGTCACCAAGGAACAACAGGCTCACACGTTTCCCTGCCAGAGTTTCCACACCCCTGAGAGAAGACCTGGACCCGGAAGACCTCACCATCCTCCTCTTAGCACCTGTATGGAAATGAACTCCACATGGAAAGATGTTACTCTCATTAAAAAAAATAATAAGCCTTATTGGAATGTATATCTTCAAGCAGTATCCTCCACTGCCATTCTTCCTTTAAAAAACTAAAACAACCCAAAAGGTAAAAAATTTGATCCACAATTTTTCTATTCAGTTTCACCATTTCTATTCAACTTCACAGATTTTGCATGTGTTCATAGAACTTGGTCACCAAACCTTACACCATAAGTTTTCTTGGAGATTTTATTACTGTGTATTTGTGGTTCAAAATAGAATTTGTCCTTTTAAAAAAATATTCACTACTCCTAAGTTGTTTTTTCTTTTTTTTTTTTTTTTACTAGAAACAATCTTTACTCTCAGTTTCATCAAATGCCCAATCTTCTTTTCACTATATTTTTTTGGTTTTGTGCACACTCTCCATCCTGGAAACTGAACCCTTGGACCTTCAAACTTAGCTATATCCTCAGCCCTTTATTTATTATTTTGTTTTGTTTTATGTTTGTTTGTGGCCCATTGTTGATATTTTGCTTTGTTTTAACTTTTTGAGACTGGGTCTCACCGAGTTGCTAACTTGCCCAGGCTGGACTTGAATTTGTGATCCTCCTGCCACAGCCTGTCCAGAATGTTGGGATTACAGGCTTGCACCACTACTCAAGGCTTAAAATAGACTTTAAGAACAATTTTAGGTTCACAGCAAAATTAGTTGAAAAGTATCAGAGAAGTTTCCAGAAACTGTGTGATTCCACACAGTCACAGCCTCTCTACCAACATCCCACATCAGATAGCAAGTTTGTTACCTTTGGTGAACCTAAGCTAGCATATTATTATCTCCCCAACTCCACAGTTTACCTTAGAGTTCACTCTTGGTATTGGGCATTCTACAGGTCTTGACAAATGCTTAATGACATGTACCTGTCATTATAATACACAGAATAGTGTAACTGTCCTAAAAATCCTCTTTCATCCCTCTCCTTCCAAATCCCTGGAAACCATGCATCCATAATTATCTCCACAATGCTGTCCTCTTTAGAATGTTATATAGTAGTTATACATGTAGCATTTCAGATTGACTTCTTTCACTTAGTAGTATGCATTTAAGTTTCCTGCCTGTATTTTTATAGCTTCATGGCTCATTTATTTTTAGCGTTGAATAATATTCTTTTGTCTGGATGTAACACTGTTTATTGATCCATTCACCTACTAAAGGACATTTTGGTTGCTTCCAAGTTTTGACAGTTATGAATAAAATTACTATAAACATCTGTTTGCAGGCTTTTATGTGGACATAATTTTCAATTCATTTGTGGAAATATCAAGGATGTGATTGTCTGATCAAGTGGTATGCATGTTTAGTTCTGTAAGAGACGCCCAACAAGAGGTGTAGCTAAGTAGTAGAATGTTTGCCTGGCATGTGTGAGTCCTTGGGTTCAATCCCCAGTACTGAAACAAACACACAAAAACTCAAACAAAAAACCACCTGCCAGACTGTCTTCCAAAGTAGCTGTACCATTTTTCATCCTCATCAGCAATGAGTAAGAGTTCCTGTTGCTTAGCAACCCATTCAAACTTTTGTTGTTTTCAGTGTTTTGTAGTTTTTCTGACGGATATAAAATCTGTGTCTGTAAGTTTTTGTTTTTGTTGTTGTTGTTTGCGCAAGGTATCCAGTTCCAGCACCACTTACTGAAAAGGTTGTTTTTTCTCCATTGTGTGGCCTTTGCTACTTAGCCAAAGATCAGTTGACTGTATTACTGTGTGCTATTTCTGGGCTCTCAACTCTGTTATTTTGATCCATTTATTCTTTCACAAATACCACATTGTCTTGATTAGGACACTAAATTTATAGTTAAGTCTTTAAGTAAAGTACCTTCTGTCTTCTGATTTGTTCTCTTTCAGTATTATGTTGGCTACTCTGGGTTTTTTGCCACTCCATATAAGATATTAGAGTCTAACAGGGCCTATAAATAGATTGCTGCAATTTGCATTGGGAGTACATTGAATCTACAGATAAAATTTGGAAAAACCAGCATGTTGACAATTTGAGCTTTCTATCCTTGAAAATGGATCATCACTCTTATTTATTTCATTCTTTGATTTATTAGAGCTTTTAAATTTTTCTTAAACATATAGATCTTAGACATATTTTGTTAGATTTATACATGAACATTTCACTTGTGGGTTTTTAAATTTCAAATTCTAATTGTTGCTAGTATATCAGAAAGCAGGGACATTTTTATATTTACGTCATATCTTCCAATTTGAAGCGCTTTTTCCGAAAGTTTTTTGGTCAATTAATTTGGATTTTCTACATACTCTCATGTCATCTATAAATAATAACAGTTGTATTTCTTCCTTCTAAATCTGTATGTCAATTATTGCATTAGGTAGGACTTCCAGTATAGTGTAGAAAAGGAGTAGTGCGAGGAGGTATCTTTGCCTTCCTCATCTTAGAGGGAAAGTCTCTGGTGTTTCACCATTCAGTGTGATGTTAGCTCTAAGATTTTGGTCATTTTTTTCATAAAGTAAAAAAAATCCTCTCTTTTTGTTTTTTTTATGAGTGGGTATTGAATTTTCTCAAATGCTCTTTCTACATTTATTGATATGATTATGTGATTTTTTTTCTTTAGCTTATTTGTGATGAAAGTACATTAAGTGATTTTTGAATGCTGATTCAGCCTTGTATATCTGGGATAAACCCCGGTTGGTCATGGTGTAGGTTGTTTTTATATTGTCAGAATGGATTTATTACTTTGTTGACTATTTTTTGTATCTATCTGACTGAGAGTTACTGATCTGTACATTTCTTTTCTTATAATGTCTTATCTGATTTTGGTATTAAGAATACTACTGGTCTCATACAATGAGGCAGGAAGTATTCTCTATGTTTCTGTCTTCTGGAGAAGATTATAGAGAATTGGTATAATTTCTGTCTAGAATTTGGTAGAATTTACCAGGGACCCCTGTTTGAGCTTGGTGTTTTCTGTTTTGAAAAGTTCTCTGTTGTTTTTTCCTTTTTGTTTGTTTGTTTGTTTTGGTGTTAAAGATTTAACACAGGGCCACATGCATGCACTCTACTACTGAGCTACAACCTCAGTGTTTCAGAAAGTTCTTAATTAATTGATTAAATGTTTAATATATGTAGGCTTGCTCAGGTTATCTATTTATCCTATTGTGACTTTCAGCAGATTTTCTTTTTCAAGAAATCAATCCATTTCATCTAGGTTACCAAATTTGTGCGCATATAATTATTCAAAATTATTCCTGAAGTATCCTTTTAATGTAGGTATATCTGTAAGTTCTATAATAATGTCCCCTTTCATTTAGGATATTAGTAATGTATATCTTTGCTCTTTTTTGCTTAGTTATCCTTAGAAGAACCTTACTGATTTTAGTGATCTTTTCAGAGAGCAAGCTTTTGGATTTGTTGTTTATCTCTATTGATTTCATTTGTCAGTTTATTTCATTTCAAATTTGTATTATTTCTTTTCTCCTGCTTTAATTTACCTTTTCTATTTCGGACTTCCTAAGGTGAAAACTTAAATTTTTGATCTTAGAACTTTCTTTTTTCCTAATATATGCATCCAGTGCTATAAATTTCTAAGCACTGCCTCGGCTATATCCCACAAATCTTAATAAATTTTACTTTCATTTTCATTCAAAATTTCTCCTTTGACCCATGTGTTATTTACAAATGTAATGTTTAATTTCCCAAGTGTTTTGGAATTTTCTGTTTTGTTATTAATTTCTATTTTACTTTCATTGTGGATGAGTAGACAATTTCTATTCTTTAAATAGATTTAGGTTCAATTTATGGCCTGAAATATGGTCTTTCCTAGAAAATGTTCCATGTGAGCTTGAGAAGAACATGTGTTGTATTCTTCTCTAGTTGGAAGAAATGTTTTATAGATGTCATTTACGTGCAATTGAATGATGGTGCTGTTGAGTTCAACTAAGTCTTTATTGCCTGCTTGCTCTGTCCATTGTTGACAGAGTGTTGAAGTTTCCAACTATGATAGTGGATTTATCTGTTTCTGCTGGGAATTCTATCGGGTTTTGCCTCTGTTTGTAGCATTTGAATATGTCATTATGCACTATCATATCTTCTTGGAGAACTGAGTCTTTTATTATTGTATTTATATTATTATGAAATACCCCTTGTTATACCTGAGAACTGCCTTCTTTGAAATCTTCCCTAACTAAATTTAATTCAGCCTTCTTTTGATATGTCATGATATATCCTTCTCTTGCCCTTTACATTTAATGTATATGTGTCTTTTTTAAAAATTAATTTTATTGGTAGATTTTAGGTATACAATATAATGACATTCATCATTGGAAATTTGCACCTTTATATAATCTCTCTTGATTCTTATTTTTTCCCCATTCCCCTGCCCTCCCTTCAACCCCTTATGTGTCTTTATATTTAAAATGAGTTTATGCTAGAAAACATATAGTTGAGTCTTTTGATCCAATCTGACAATTTATTTTAGTTGTTATATTCAAACCAATAATATTTAAAGTGATTATTGATATTGTAGGATTAATATGTGCCATGTTTCTTACTGTTTTTACTGATTGTTCTTGTTTTTTTTTTTTGCTGTCTACCACTTTTTTGCCTCTTACAGTTTTGAGCATTTTATGCTTTTGTCCTTTCTTAGCATATCAATTATAGGGGTTGGGGATTTAGCTTAGTGGTTTTGCCGCCTGCTGCGCAAATGCAAGTGCAAGAGCCAGGTTTGATCCCCAGTACCAAAAAAAAAGCATATCAATTTATACTTCCTACTTATTTACTTTTCTTTACTTTTTTAAAAGTAGTTGCCCTAGAGCTTTCAACATACATTTTTAACTAATCTTACTCTATTTTTGAATAACACTATACTGCTTCCCAGTTATGTAAGGCTATCTATACTCTCCAGTCACCAAATACATTATTACTATTATCTTGAACAAACTGTTATCTGTTCAAATAAGAATAAAAAATGAAAGTTTTATTTTTACCTTTATTTACTCCTTCTCTAATTCCCTTCTTTATGTAGAATCCAAGTTTCTGACCTATATCATTTTTCCTTTCTGAAACAGTTCTTTAAACATTTTTTGCAAGACAGTTCTACTGACAACAAATTCTCTCAGGTTTTGTCTCAGAAAGTCTATTTCTCCGTCACAAAAAAAGCTAATTTTACAGGATAAAAAATTGTATATTTTTTTAGTTTTGTTGTTATTTCTCTCGTAACTTTAAATGTTTCACTCTATTCTCTATTTGCTTGCAAGATATTTAAGGAGAAGTTTGATGTCAGTCTGATCTTGCCCCTTTGTAGTTATCATATTTACTTTCCTCTGGCTTCTTTCAAGATTTTTTTTCTTTATCTTTTATTTTTTGCAGTTTAAATGTGCTACACCTATGTTCATATTTTTTCCTGCTTTGAATTCTCACAGAATCCTGGATCTGAGTTTGATATTCAGCATTATTTGGGGGAAATTCTCAGTTTTTTTCAAACACTTCTTTTGTTACTTTGTTCTTTCTTGTCTCCTGGTATTCAGATTATTCCTGTTATATTTTTTGTTGTTCCTTAGTCCTTAGATAGCTTACTACATTTTTTCCATCCTTTCTTCTCTTTATATTTTCAATTTTGGAATTTTCTATGGACCCGTAATCAAGCTCACTTATTCTTTCCTTAGCTATGTCCAGCCTACTAATCAGTCCATTAAAAGTATTCTTCATTTTTGTTACAATGTCTTTATTTCTACAATTTTTTAAGAATTTCCTTCTCTCTATTTAAGTTACCTATCTTTTCTTACATATTGTCCATATTTTTCCTTTAGAGACTTTCACATATTAAGTGTAGTTGTTTTAAGTTCCTGGTCTCATAATTCCATATGCAAATCTAGTTCTGATGCTTTACAGTTAGAAACTTTTTTTTTTTGCCTTTTTGTCTGCCTTGTAATTTTTCTGGGTATATTTCAAGATAACTAATTTTCCCTCCCTCTGATAGAAGCATAAGGGAATATTCCTCCATCTTCACTTTGAGATCTTGTAAGGCCCCAGGGAGTTAGACTTACCAAAGTTTTGAGAACTCATCTAAGACTGAGCTCCCCTGGAATTTTTAGCATTCCTATTTGTCTATACTGACAAATATTAGTCAATTAATCAGTTACTAAGCAATTTGTCAATTAGTCAATTACTGTTTCAACTTTCTTTCCTGGCACTTGTTTCCACAGTGATTTCTTCTCCAA